GTGAAGTTCTTATAGATGTTTCCAGGGCAGGGATCAGTCGCAAGTGGAGAGAAGATTGTAGACCTGCCAATGAAACTGCTGAAGGGTAAGGAGAATATCTAGAAGGTCAGTAGTAGAGAGTAGTAATATGAGCCAAGAAGAGTGATACATACAGATTGCAGGGTTTTAAAGTGAGAAGAATGTTGATCAACAAAACCCAGAATACCTGATTGCCTAGTATTGTATTGAGAACAGAATTTAGTAATATATAAGAGAGAGCAATAGATACACAGAGAATAAAACAAATGAAAAAGAAAACGTCAGAATTCTCAACACCAGCAAAAAATAGTTGTACTAAAACAGAAGCAAAATAGTACAAAAATTGTCTCAGCAGTAAATAATATTTCATAGCAATAATAATATAAACACTTAATACTGATTTAGCCAAAATATGGGATTTAACTACAGTGAGATGATGGAAGATATGAAAGGAGGCGGATGGGAGATTAATGGAAGTAAAATCTTATGTACCAGCATTAACAACAGATAATATGCAACACTGATAAAATAAGAAGTTAACAGCATAACTATATGCAAGCTTTTAACTATTTGGAGGTAAATCCTAGAGGAAAAAGAAGAGTTGAAATGGTTGCCTTTGGGGATCAAGAGGGTGTGACAAGGGTTGGGACAGAGAATTTGTTATGTGCCTTTTAGTACTATCTGACCTTTTAAGCTATATACATGCATTTCTTTGATTTAAAAAAGTAAAATCTATTTTAAAAGAACAAATAATTAACAATTATTGTTTTCCACAAGAGTTCAAAATGGCACCATAGCAGGAGGTAGCAGGAGACAGATAAGGGTGGTACTGAGAAATGATGGACCCAAAACAGATATAAACTATGTTTTTGGAAGAGATAAGCAGGGGATAGAAGTTTGCACAAAAGACACTCATTTTCAATAATGGAGATGAGAAGACAGTAAATATGGAGAGGGACTTGAGCCACATTTTAATGAGAGGAAACAGGCAGAACTGCTGAGTTTATAGAGGTAACCCAGAGATTCCATCATTAGTGAATGACTTACATTAAATAAACATTGTAGTAAGTTTCCTGGATACATGTCAGAAAATGCATCTGACACTAAGATTTGTGCTGTCTTAATGTTGACAAAAATTGAATTTTCAAACGACAGGAAGAAAGACATCAAAAGTTGGAGAATTTTTCATTGGCAATAGTACTATCCAAGTGAGCGGGGCTGTTCCCCTTACATCCTCCAATGACTCCAAAAGGTTTCCTGGAAGCCTCAAGCCAAGTAGAAAAGAGTTGAGCATATAATATACAAAATTACTTGAGTATTTCTTATAAACCACCTCTATGACAACTTGTAAAATGAGTTCAGCTCAGTTTTTCCCTGTCACTAACATATGTGAATTTATCCGTTCCTTGCTAATGACAGAGAAATGATCACAGCACATTATTGTTAATGTCCCCAGGGAAGGAAATGTAATTGGTGATGTTTTGAATTTGAAACCAAAATGATGATGTTTCCAGGGAGGCCCATGTAAAACATACATAAATTATTTTGATAAAAAAGTATTGAAGACAGGTTTTTGGACAGCTCACTTTCAAAAATATTTTAATGCTTTGTAGAAGACACTTTAAAGGTGATTTAGTTTATTGTAAAAATATTACAATGGGAACCAGTTTCTTATATTAATGCTTTGAAACACATGGGGCCTGAGGTTGGGGGAGGAAGAAGGTGCAGAATCAAACCTTCATTTAAGCATCTATTGTGAGTTGGCACTAAGCTAGGTACTTTACATATTTTATCTCATTTAATCCTATTGTAGGATACACTGCACACTAAGTCTGATTCTCTCTTTTATAGATGGGGAAACTGAGGTTCAGTTCAGTTAAGTCAATTACCTAAGATCATGCAGCTCAGCAGAATCAGGTTTTATAAACCCAAATAATGGAATTGAAAATCTATGTTCTTTCCTCCTTATTAAGCTACCTCTGAATTACAATTTAAAACACAAGCTACGAATGGGTCAACCTTTAGTTTTAAAAAAGCCTAACTTAGATTTGCTCTATTACTCTTTAAATAGACTCCTCCACCGATATGAAAGAGACATGTTAAACACCAAGGAGCCTAGGTGAGAAAACTCATTCTCTGCTCTCCGTCCATGGTATCTACACAACCAGGTTACCCTGTCCTTACTCTGATCAGGAAATGATCCAATGCTATGTAATCCATACAAGTGGAATTACTATCTTTAAGCTTTCTCTCAACAGCACTTCAAATTCAACCTCATAAAATACTTAAAAAAACAGAAAAATTTTATCTATACAAAAAGCCTTCAGCCTTTAACAAAACTGAATTGGAATCTCAAACTGGAGAGTGAGTAATGAAGTAGAAATAATGTTACCTAATTCTGCCCATTTTCTAAATAGACAATATCTAATCTGGTTAAATATGTTATAAACTGTACTAACCTAGGGAAGGATACCACATTACCAGTGCCATTGGACAGGACTCTTAATCCTGTGATATTGTTGCTGTCTCTGATAATTGTCCCTCACTCCATTCCTAGTGTCACGATTCTAGCTTAAGTTTTACACTTAAGACTAACTGAAATAGCTTCAAATATCTTCTCTCTGAAAATCCTTTTCTGCGGCATTTTTTTAAGTTGTTGACTTCATAGTTTATTAAGCAATTTTGACATATATTTTCATTTAGTCTTTACATCGATCTGTGAGGTAGGCATTACTACCTAAATTTTATGGATGAGAATGGTTCTAAGAGATTTAATACATATTAAGAACACAAAGCTTGAAAGTCACAGAGCTGGGACAGGAACCCAAGTCTTCCTTTCATGACACTAGTCTACTTTCTGTTATGTCACCAACACCTCTCCACGGGCAGTCTCTTAATGGAGTGCTTTATTAATGTTTACATTATTGATAAAAGACTCTCCATACAACTAACTCAACTTCAAGAGAGAACTTTCAATAAGCTATGGCATCAGGTATCTGGCTCCACCACATGCTAGTTGTCCAAGCCTTTTGCCCTTCCAAATAACTTAACCTCTCTGAACCTGTTTCCTTATCTGAGCAATAAGGGCAACAATAACACCTTCCTCATCTGATCATTCGTGAGAAGAAACTCAATATGCCAATCTTGTACAAAGCTTCTAGGATTAACCTCCTAAAGCATACCTATTTTCCTACTCAACACCCTTCATTCATGCTTCATTCCCTACCAAATACAGTTCAAGATTTTAAAGTTAACATTTAAGGGCCTCATGATCTGTTTTAATGTATCATTTTAACCCTGCATTCTGGTACTTCTCAGGAATGTCTTCCTTGCCGGACAAACCAAACCACTAACTCTCTGTGAAACCCAAATGTACTTTCCCAAATACATGACCTTTTTCATGTGATTCTCTCTTCTTAGATTGTCATCTCCATGCCACAACACAATACCACATATGGAAATTCTGCCCACTTTTCAAAGCCCAGGGCAATTGCCACCTCCTCAACAAAGCTTTCCTTGATCTCCCTGCTGAAATTAATTTCTTCTCTCTTCTATTCCCATCGAACATTCTTGTTCTTCTTTTATGACAGATAACACTTTGCTTTGCACTCTGTTGTGTTTGCCACTTTCCCCTATTGGTAAGCACCTATAAGAAGTGTGACAACAGCTTACCCACTTTTGTATTTCTCATAGTACTTGGCATGAAGATTTAATGTTTATGAATAATAATTACTACTAACAATTAATAATTACCTTTTGTTAAGCACTTCATCAGCATTCAACTATGTTAGGTGCTTAACATACAAGAATTAATTCTTACAATAACCCTGTAAGAAATGAATGATGAACCACTATTTTAGAGTGAGAAAACTGAGGCAAAGGTCAGTATTAGATTGAACTGTATGAAATTTTTGCTATTTGACTGACTTTGGCCTATAAAAATCACAATTTCAAATGATTTAACCTCATAAAATGGCTTTTTAATGGTTATTGCTAATCTATGTAACCTAAGAAGTTCAACACCATCTGGATCATGTTTCAGAATAATCCTAGAGGCCAATTATTTCCATACATTATATTCAAAGAAAAGATCATTTTAAGCTTCTTTAGATTGGAAAAACATGGATTTAAAATCTGTGGTTCTTTTTCAGCAATATGGCCAAAGGCAAATTTCAAAGTTTCAGTCTTTAGAAATAATCTAATGTAGAATAATCAAATTCTTATGTAGGCAGACTCCTTTATTTTTTCTTATTCTTTTCCTTTTTCTTTTACTAATTGTTGCCTATGGGAGAGGTCCATTTGAGCAAGTTATTCCTCATTAGAAAAAAGATTTTAAAAAATACAAATGATGGCTGATGCCCCATTGTACCAGTTATTGTTAGTTTTACCAAGATATAAGAAAATATTTTTCCTTCAACAATTGTATAACAGATGTTCTCCAGATTCCAAAGTCTCCAGAACATAAATTAGTCACTGACAATTGTATCCCAAGAGATTTCTTCTTTGCAATTAAGTTTTAGTTTCTATTTTGTTGATATAATATGCAATAAAATGCACATATAGTCTGAATTGTTAATATACTGTATTTTTCAAAGAACACAGGAAGTAATTACCAGTTGTGAAATGTGACCATTACAATCATTATTGATATCACTTCCAATTCATTGTTCATTTAAATACTGTACGTCATGGAAATATTTAATGTTGCACAATCAACAGACACATTTTAGAACTGAGGATCAGCTGGAAATGAGGTATTCATTATTCACTTCATAATTTCCCTCACAGATTTAATGCATTAATAGACCTGAATTATTGTCTTCTGACAAGAAATGGAAAATTTTGTCTTAAAAATGCCACAACAAAGTGGTATAACTCCTCAATACTTGGATGAAAATTTAATGTGGGTACCCATACACTGGTGTGAAAAGGGTTTAAGAGTGTAATTTCAGTTTTATGAGGTATCAGCTGATTGGTCTTACCTGATCATGTATATGGCTTGATCCACCATGGCACAGTTCATTTCCAGTATTTATAGAAAGTGAATCACATCCTGTGATGGTTTGCATTTGCTGGCTAGAATGGCATTGTTGACAGTGTGGAGAATGGATGATCTGGGGCTGTTGGACAATGTGACGATGACACTGAACTTGAGGATAGTATTCCTAAAATACATACACATGCCAAAAAGAGCTGCTGAATATAGAAATTACTAATCAAGAAAAATCTAACTGAATCCATTATTTAAATATAATGTGTTCTTTCACAAAATAATTCAAGTCCTAGAATTTGTAGTTTTATTAAGTGATATATTATTTTTTCAAATTGTTCTACTGAGGGAAATTCCATTGAATACTATTTTTATTTGATCAGGTGGCTGTGACCATCCAAATACTTACCTAAATTGGCCAGGGAATTGCATGTTCTGATTAAATTAATATTCCAGCTACACTTAACACTAAAACTCTAATGAATATTAATATTAATTAATCTTTCTTTGATAATTCAACAGGCACTTCAGGATCTAATTACATAATAATACTATAATACTGAAGATGTAGATGGTGTAAAGTTAGAAAATAATGTAATGTAGTGATTTTCAATGTCAGGAAGCATATTAGAATCATAGTGGGGGCAGCGAAGTTCTTATGCTTATGAAAATTGAGCATGAATTAAGAAAAAAGACTGGAAAGCAGTGACTAAAGCTTCAGATCCAGAAACGTGGATTCTAACTCGGATTCTATCACTTACTTTGTGATCTTAGTAAACCATACATGCAACATTTATGGGCCTCAGATTCCCCATTTGTAAAAGTGATGATAATACGTTCCTCATTGGGTTGCTGTGAGGAGTAAATGAGCTGTTATAAAGTGCCTAGTACAAAGTAGGTGGGTAATAATATTTATTATTATTCTGACATCATTTAGTCATTTATCATCATCATCATCAACTTAATCATCACCCCCATCACTAATTTTACAGGTGGTAAAAAGAAAACCCTGAGATCCAGAGAAGTACGATGATTTATGTATAATGACAGAACTAATGAATGGCGAAATTGGGACTGAAACTCATGATTTCTAGCTCAGAGTTCTTTCAGAACATTAGGCTGAATTTATACTGTCCTCAAATATTCTGCAACTTGTTTTTAAACTAAATCTTTGCTATCTGTTTGTTTATTTGTCAGAGCTTTTTCTGACTAAGTATAGAGTACAGAATAAGAAAAGATATCTAGTTATTTCAGTTTGGGGCATTTCAGGTATATTTGAATTTCCCATATTATTTTATTTTTCTACTTTGATAACAAGCATGTGAAAACCAGTTTGCAAAGAAAAAAATACTCTACTTTGATTGTAATGGTACATTCATGCACATGCAATTAACTTTGAAAGTGTAAATTCAATGCTCTATTTCCTTTGAACTGTGGAAAACTGACCTATAGTAATAAAGTAAAGCATTTCAAATTAAATTTTTTATATGGAACAATTTTCAAATTATATGAAATGAAAAAAGATACATAAGAATGAATATAGTATGTTCTCTTTTGTGTAACATTTGAAAACATATACATGTATATTTACAAATATACACAGTACTCTTTTAAATACTGGTTTTAAATGCATAGAGCAAATAACTTTTATGAGTATCTCTGGAAAGAGGAACTGAGGGATGAGAGGGTCAGAATAGAGAGGTTTTTTTTCACTATATACATTTTTATTCTCTTTTTATGTTCTTTATGCCTTTTATACTTTTAATGCTTTGAAAATTTATTGCCATGTATACAAATTACCTTCTCATGTATACAATAACATTTTGAAAGAAAGAAAAATTACATACAGAAACACATTTTACAAATAGATACTGCCTTGGTAGGCATATAGATAATAAAGGTCACAGATCAGGTCATAAAATCATTTGCTCTAGGCTCTGATCAAATATGACTCACTTTACAAATATGCTAGTAAAAAGATCTCTACAGTTTAGAGGTCTGTGTACTTTTGTACAGATTTTGTGGGGGGTGGTGAATGTATTATCTGTTCTTTTATGTTACAAAAATCCTTCATATAGTGGATTAGAATAACGTCAGAGTGACAGTCTGAGAAAACCTTCATCCAGTGGGGATCTTGTACACTACTGAAATAGAATTCCTCTGAAAAAAAAATAATGTGTTCCTTACAAAGCAAGTTAGGAAACACTTTAAAGGACACATCAACATAGGACAATAGAGAAAACAAAACTCCTTTGTCAGTCATCTTCCTTTATTACTGTATCAGTTCATGCTTGAGTGGAATGGTGGCAGTCTTTCCATCTGAGGTGTCGTGGTTTCCCAAGCCTATTTGGCCTTGGAACCACTCATTGGTAGCACTGAAGTCCTAGCAGTTTTCCAGTTTTCAGTTCTTACACCTGACTACTTAAATTGTTGTTCCAAAGCAAGATATTCATATGTTATTCATACTTTTGAAACATGCCGCAAGTTGAATTTTTAATGTAGAAAAGATCAAACACTTCTGATTTATCATATATTTTGTCTTCTTTGATAGAGAAAAAAATACACTGGTATAAATTGGCTAATTATCTTGTAACAGGCACCTTTACCACACTTTCACTACAAAGACCACTTTTTTGAACAGTTCCCATCTCCTAAGAGCTATTTCTACTTGTCTCATGTGACATTAAACAGGTTCATCCAGATCCTGGCTTTATCCCGCTAGTCCTACTGCATGTCTGTCACTAAATAACTCCATTAGGTCAAAGCAGTTGTAGTTTGTTCCATATGCATAGCTCTTTTTACCTTGGGCAGTCTCCCATGGCAGTCTCCAAACTCCCAAATCATTTAAATCATTAACAAGAAAAGTGGCATTAGAAAGCATATATTCAAGTTAATAGTATGTAGCAACAGTGTTCTTTTAAAAGAGTTCTTCTTTAATTGTTCCACATGCATAGCAATAATAATATACAGGATATCCAATCTTTTTCTCCAGGGACCAAGATCTGTAAGAGCTGTTTACTCTCTTTGAAACAAGAAGTTGGATGCAGGATGAAATTATGTGTTTTAAACAACCCTTACTATTTAAAATGTGTCAAACTTACTGATTTGGCAGTCCAGTTGGATAAAGGACAGATGTTGTAATTTGATAGCTTGAGGAAAGTGCCCCTTGAAGAACTGACATATTTGATGAAACGTTTTCTATTTTGAATCATAATGTCCAGGAGTATTTTGAAAGATATGTGCCCATATGTACCATACCAGACCCTTCAGACTATATCCAGCTTTCCAAGCAGACCAAAATGTTAAAGATTTGGATATTTATGATTCCAAGAACTTACTTTATTTAACTTTCATTGGGCATCGTCTAAGTAATAATGTATTAGTTCCTGTGACACTGGTCACAACTGCCCATAAATGCTCATAAGAATAAGACATATTCTCATACCAAAAGAAGTAGAAAGGAGAAGTTAGCATATTTTAATTTTTAATCTGTATATGAGAAAATGATTTTTGTGATCAAAATTCATTTCATATTATTTAACTGCCTATTATGGGTTGAATTGTGCCCCCTCCCAAAGATATGTTAAAGTCCTAACCCCCAGTACCTCAGAATGTGACTTATTTTAGAAATAGGGTTTTTAAAGAAGTAATCAAGTTAAAATGAGGTCATTAGATGGGTTCTAATGAAATATGACTGATGTACTCATAAAAAAGGAGAAATTTGGACACAGACAGCCATGCATACAGGAAAAATAATGTAAAGACACACAAGGAATATGTCATATGAAGATGAAGGATGGAAGTTATGCATCTATAGGCCAAGGAATGCCTGAGGCCACCAGAAACTAGGAGATAGGCATGGAAGAGTTCCTTCCCTAGAGGCTTCAAGAACAAGGCCACCAACACCATGATTTTGTACTTCTGACCTCCAGAGTTGTGAGACAATCAATTTCTGTTGTTTCAGGCCACCCAGACTGTGGTACTTTGTTACAGAAGCCCTAATAAACCAATACACTGTCCTAGTTCATGAATGGCCAAGAGACAAGTCCCAAGCTTTTCTGGGCTGGATGTGCTTGTATCCACTGAGAAGATCAATATGAAACCTCTACTCACTATAGTAACAAATCTGTTTGAAGGAAGGGGGTTCTAGATGCCATGGAGTTACCATAACCCTGCTGTAGTTTTGTACTCTGTACTTGGTCTCTCAATTAAGCTTAATGGAATTTTAAACATGTAACTTGAAGCTTTAGTTTTCTACATCTTTTATAGTATACAGTATTTTACATATTCATGCATATTATCCATTTAAAAATTAATTTCATATTAAATGAATTAAGATGCAATTATAATATTTTAAGTCATGAGTTTTGTGAGGTAGGTTTAAAAGAAACTTGCAAAATATTGGGACATCTATATTAAGTTCAGATTCTGCAATTAATGTTCTATATGTTTTGATATGTCTTTATTTCAGTTTTCCTTTCAGTAAAACAGGGACAATAATACTTCAAAAGAGGAAATAGATATGAAAATGTTAAGGATGATATGAAGGGCTGTAGATATAATAAGGTATTATTATGATTCGTATTGGTCTTGCCTAGCACTTGACAACTGAGTATCATTTTAGCTCTATTACAAAACAAAACAAATGAACTAACAAAACAGAAATAAATTCATAAATACAAAGAATTGGTGACTGCCACAGAGGAGAGTGGATGGGCAAAGTAGGTGAAGTGGATAAATAGGTACAAACTTCCAGTTATAAAATAAAGAAGTCATGAGGATGAAAAGTAACAGCATAACGGATGTAGTCAATGATATTATAATAGCCTTGTATAGTGAGAGACAGTAATTACACTTAACTATGGGGAGCATTTCATAATTATATAGTTGTTGAACCACAATGTTGTACACCTGAAACTAATATACTATTGTATGTCAACTATTCTTCAATAAAAAAGTTTCAAAAAAATTTTAAGAACTACATTTTTTTAAATTAAATATTTGAATAATTCAAAAGGATACACTTAACAACCCTTAAAACAAATTTTACATACCTTATCTGTATTTAGCTTCTCCACTTTTCGTACTGTTTTTTCATAGATAACATTGTTTCCTGGGAAGAAATGGCCTCCTCTTAGGAGCGGAGACAGTGGTTCCTAGAAAGACAGTAAAGACTATATTTTGCTTTGGAAGGTACTTTTTCAGAGGAACCTTAACTTAAGCAGACTCTAATAAACTCTGTAACAGTGACTTTAGGACAGGGCAATGACATCCCAATAACGTTCTGAGAGATACAAGGGAATAGTAATGAAGAGAATACATTTCCTCAAACAGTACAATTTAGATCTCTCCTGCTACATTTTACTGGGCCTAACAAAGTGTTTCGGAGAAATTGGAATGCGGTGGGAAATATTTTTTTTTCCTTTTCCTAAGGTAAGATATAATGAATTCCTTTGAGGTAGACAGACATAAGGTCAGCCTCATTTAAATTGGGTTCACTGGCAGGTTTCTGTCTATGTAAAAGTATTATTGAAGAAATACAAAATAAACATAATTCAACACTTCTGAGCTGTAAGTAGATAGAACTATATTAATTTTTTTTCCTGGAACTCAATTCGGGTGTCCTTGAAGTATACAATTCTTCTGATTATAATCAAAGCTAAGACTCTCACTACAACATGTGTTTTGAATACTGAGAACATAGTAGATGCTTTAAAAGCCACTGTATCTCCATATAATCAACTAAATTGATGTAGGATTATCCAAGTACTTAGAAGATGTCAGCCAATAAAGTAAAGGCTGGTGACATGTCCAAGATCTGAAAGAAACCAGGGAAGCACTAATAAGAATCAGACCAGGAGTCTAAAATAAATATAATGCGTACTATATTCCTTTCTTTATTTTCATATGAGTTTTTGGGATTGCTTTATTACAAACCAAGAAGTACACTAATTTATTTTTGTAATACTGGGGAACAGTATAGAAGGGGATTGGCTAAGCCTATTACCAGTTAATGTGTTTAAAACCATTTCAAAATCAACAAAATGTGCTAGCATTTTTGTAGTCTGCTATTGTAAAAACCCTTAGAACAACTGGATTTACAACACTGATTGTTGAGAAGTCAAGACACTCTTAACCCAAAGCTATATATTTATTGTATTCCCTTTGAATAAAGGGTGCTTTAACTAAATGTTCCTAGGATACTTTGGTAAAACAAACATATAAATGATTAAATTTGGCTAGTTAATTATTAAATGTAAAGATATATTTAGAAAGATTGCCCTAGAAGCTCTTTTGTGTTTGCTTGCATTTGTAAAAAAGCCTCATTAGCAGTTATTTGCAATCATGTAACACACATTTAAGAGCTTACTATGTACAAGATACTTTGCTAAGTGTTATAAGGCATGAATCAAGTTTAGATTATTACTAGGAGCATTGAATATTGATCAGAGCTCATCAAACTAAAGCCAACAGCCTGTTTTTGTAATATCCTCAAATTAAAAATGATATTTAGAGTTTTAAAGGACTGTAAGTAAAAGGAAAGATGGAGACCCTATGTGGCCAGAAAAGCCTAAAATATTTTTAGTGTATGGCCCCTTACAGAAAGATTTTGCTAATCCCTGACCTAGATGATATATGAATACAAACAACTAAAATACAAGTAGAAAGAGACAAGTGCCCAGAAGAGGTACATAGAAATAACTTATGGGATAGAATTCAAAAGGAGAAAAATCTGAGTTTCATCCTGCAGTGCTCAAATAGGTTACTTGGATCAGAGAGCATTTGAGAGAAGGTTAAGGTAGGATTTGGATTTGAAAAGATGGAAGAAAATGATATTCCAAATGAAGGAAACAAATTAAGTCAAGACACCAAGGTTGGAAACATGTAAGTTGTATGTAGGGGACATACTTGGCAGATGGTTCTGCAAGCAGTGAGAAGCCTTTGAATGATTTAAAGAGGGATGTGAGGTGAATATAAGTCTATTTCAGAAAGATCAATTGGAGAATGGAAAGAGTACACTTGAGATGATCCTAAATCATCAAGGACAGTACTGTTCAAAGATGAATGAGATCATGAACCTGAGAAATCTACTATATGGCCAATGATGATAAAAACAAAAACAGAAAAAGTTCAGACACATCGACTTTTATGTACTCTTGCTAAGGATCTAGGTGTGAATCATTTTGTTTTTGTTCCTCATAACATAGTACATAGAAGTCCCTTAAAAATGTGTTCAGTTGTTGCAGAAAAGAAGCAAAGAAACCCTTTTACAAAAATTGTGCAAGTGGGCATTCAGATATAGATGTCCAGTGCACAGATGAAAGCACATATCTGGAACTGATGGGCTGGTGAACAGTACCAGATTTTATGACGACAGTTCTGGATTTCAAAATCGTATGCATAACAGTTCTAGTTTGTGGGGAAGTTGGGGTTCCTATGGCCAGGATCCTCACTGACTTAAACCACTTGATGATGTCACTGGCCTGTTGCTAGGCTACTGCTTCCACACCCATATGCAATAAGCTATTATTGCACCATGTAGAGAGCTTGGCCCAGTGTTCTGGGTAGAGGCAGAGATGCTAGTGCTTGACCTACCGCCAGGAGAACAAGTCAGGTAATAAACCATTCCACCCCAAAGAAACGTTCTACTGTCATTTCTTTGGTCACACTGAATCCACAGTGAACTTGCCCAGGGCTAAAACCCATTGACAAGACAATTGGCGACAGTTGGCAGGATTCATTGTGGACCAAGGAAAAAGACAGGCTGCCCTTATGGAAGGGGTGCTTTAGTGGGCTGCCATTATGAATGGGGAGACAGTGGACTGTCCCCTAATGGGTATGTGGTCTCAGGTGGCTTGCCTCCTAGAGAGCTGGGCCGCACCCCAGGACTGGAGGCAAGTGGAGGTGATACCTGAGGCAGTAGAGGTGGCCCTTGGTATAGTAAGCAGGTCTTTTGAGACAGAGTGCCCATGAGGAAGTGGGGAATGTGGGTTGGCTGCTTCTCACAGTATTAAAAAAGTCTACAGAAGAGAAGGACACGCTCCTGTTAAAGACCCAATAAATGGCGGAATGAGAACACGAGCTGCAAACTGCTGTGGATTCACTGAAGAAGGAAATGGCATTGATGTGAGCAGAGGCAGCTCGAGAATACTGGCAGCGAGAGGCCATTGAAGAGGTGAAAGATTCCTTACAGAATGAGATAGCAGCACTGCCAGGCGATCTGAAGGAGGAAGCAGCCATAAAGGAAAAAGACGAACTCCTGAGGGAAGCACAGGTGGAAGTAGCACGAGAACACCAGCTGTGAAGCACAAAGGTGAAGGTAAGAGAGCTGCTGAAGACTGAGCTAGCATTCCTGCAAGGCACTGTAGAAAAGGTAAAGGATGTAGCAGAGGAGGCACTTGGGGGAGGGGAGAGAAAGGTGCCATCAGCCCCAGAAATGGAGCAGCTGCGGAAGGATGAAGGGGTGGTGCTGGAGGCACTGACCCTTCCTCTACTGAAAGCATGCCCAGTGGTTGTAAAGAAAATAAAGACCCAGCAGCTGAGAGTTCACCAAGGAAAGGAGAAGCGCCTCCCCAGATGGTGGAGAACTCTATGCTCCACCCCTATACTCAGGCTGAGCTGGTGGATTTGGGCTCCCACTTTAGGCAGAAGCCCTGGGAGTCAATATCAGCTTAGCTCCTCCATATGTGGGACTTAGGGGTTGATGGGATTGTTCTGTCTGGATCAGAGATGGGAAAGCTGGCTTCCCTGACGGTTGAGCTCACCTTAAGGCAGGAGTTACAAAGTGCACATCAGACCCCAGGGAATCACTCCCTCCTCAATTGGCTTCGTGCTGTGTGGCCCAATCAGGGTGATCTACCATCCTCTCCTGCTAGATGGCAGATGTATGCTGAGCTCCAACAGGTGTTACGGGAGCTAGGCATAAGAAATGTCAACTATAGCCCAGAGAATCATGTTCCAGATGAAGAGAATTTCACTACAGGGATGAGAACTATTGTGTTTCAAATGGCTCCCATATCCCTCTTTGGGTCTCTAGTGGCCATTCTTTCCCCTCACCTACAGCAGCCCATAAGCAAGGTGACAAGCACAGTGGCAGACTTAGGAGAGGCTAAAGTAATGAGAATATGGAAAGAAATAAGGTCTGCTACTCACAAGAAGAATTTAAAGGACTACATGAAGGTTACAAGGACCCAGATGTTGGTTGATTTAATATGGGCAGGAACACATGGAGGGAAATTAGACGGGAAGTCAAATAGGATCTTACTAGAGCTATGGCAACAATGGAAACCACAGCAGTAGTTCCATCCATTAAGACCAAAGAGGCAGAGGCCAGAGACAGAGTCACAAGTCCAGCCTGTGTGTTTGAAAGACTGCCTGCTGGAGAGCGAGCCACCCTCACTCGAGCCCACATAGAAAGATGATTGGTGAAAACAGTTCCACTGAGGAGAATGTCAAGGTACCTGCCCGGAGAGATCAGTCAGGGACCAGAGGCCACATGTTGAAATAGCTGTCCATTGGTCCACAGTGAACATACAATGTGTCCTGTCTCTGATGGACAGAGGGGCTGAATGTTCACTGATTTATGGGAAGCCTGAACAGTTCCCTGGTACCCCCACTATCATAGATGGATACGGGTATAAGGCTGAGTGAAACAAGCCCAAATTCCTTTGGGAATAAGGCGTCTACCCACAAAAGAGTATACTATGTGTACATATCCTATCCCTGAGTATATTATTTTGGGGATTGATATCCTACAGGGTCTACAGTTGTAGACATCTGCAGGTGAGTTTAGACTGAGAGTATGTGTGGTGAAGGCACTTCTGAGGGGACATGCTAGGACCTGCCCATAGCTTTTCCTGTGCCTTAGCAGGTAACTAATACCAAATAATACAAACTGCCTGGAGGGCATAAAGAGATTGGAGAAACTCTCCAGGAGCTGGAAAAGGTGGGTATTAAAAGTCCTTTCAATTCCTCTGTGTGGCCAGTAAAAAAGCCAGATAGTTCCTGGTGTATGGCTGTTGAATACAGAGAATTGAATAAATTCATACCCCCTATGCATGCTGCTGTCCCTTCTATTGCAGGCCTGATGGATACCCTCGGCCATGAACTAGGAACATATCATTATGTGGTAGATCTTGCTAATGCCTTCTTTTCC